GCCTAGTTAAACCATGATTTTAGACTTGTATCACAATTGTGAGATTATGTTCTTAATGTGGGTTAACATTATTCTAGAATGTAACAAGTTGTATAATGATGATTTAACATTCTTCATGCCATGGTAGTTGTGAACATAGGGCATGTATTGTGTTTCCAAAATTGGTTTGTGCATGGTGAATGGTTTTACATTATGTATATATGTTCATGCTAATATATATACGTTGTTGCACAAATTGTTGATTTTGGAAACTTGGGATATCGTTGTTATGACTAAGGGTAGGGCATGGTTCTAGTACATGGGATTGTCCCTTTACAGGTCTAGTGCGCACATAGTGAGGTTACCCATGGGCTAGTAACCCTAAAGTAACTATTGTGTCTGTTTGATCCGGCATGATGTCTTAGTATCCACTTTGGTTTGATTTCGCATTTTAATTTCCAAGTTGATAACTTTGTGAACTTGCATCTCATTGTGCCATGTTAAAAGTTCCAATGTCATTTTAATAGCATGGATCAAATTATATCGAATTATAAACCTTGTAATAAGTTGAACTTATGCATGCACTGATGAGCGCTGAATAGTGCGTATTTAAACCCCTTAAGTTTAGGCATTCTAGTACCTTTATCTATCTTATTTTACTGTTTTAGATTAATTTCGTATTATTTCCATTTTTAGGCACTTATCCCAAAAATAAGCTAACTCAGCCAAATAAGAGCTTAATTGAAGCAATTCTGGGATTAAACAAAGAAAAGAGCAAAATGGAGAAAGAAGGAAGCAAATGAAGCCAAAGGTGACAAGCAGTAAAGTTCGATCGATCCAAGTTCAAGGTTCGATCGATCGAACAATGATCGATCTGAGCACTTCAAGATAGATCCAAGCCTAGACCCAAAAGCATAAAGTCCAAAAGTTCGATCGATCCAACACCACCCTTCGATCGATCGAACACTTTTGTCTTTATTCAAATGATTGATCCTATCCACAGCTGTACCACCCACTAACCACTATTGTCCTTTTCCCATAAATATCTCTCCAAAATATCTCGGATTTGTCTTTTCCCAAAAAACTCAACCAGTTGGATCGATCTAGCCTAAGTTCGACAGATCTTAGCAAGTTCGATCGATCCAAGTCCAAGGTTCGATCGATTGAACTTCCTTCAGTTCGAAAAAGTTAAAATTCCAGCTTGTGCAATCTGTCCTCTATCCAATCATTAGAGAATATTCTTTGCACGACTCCAGCTCATTTTGTGTGCCACTTGACCTACCTATAAAAGGAATATGATGCATTTTTTGAGCACATAGACTATTCTAGGGTTTAATCTCTTAAGGAGGAAAGTTTAGAGGAGGAGGAAGCTAGAGACACCATTGGAGACTCTTCATTAACCAAGGAGCAAGCCTCTTCCATAACGTTAGCCCTTGAGGGTCGGAGCAACATCACCATGAGTGGCTAGACATCCTCTTGGGGATAGAGTTAGCCCCAGCATGCTTTCTGTATTATTGAGGGATTAGTGTTGTAATTGATGTTTTGACACTTTGATATATATAAATCTTGTTTATTCAATGATTTATGTGGTTTAATGCTTCCAATTGATCATTTCATTTTATCCATATGTCTATGTATGCTAGAATAGATATTCATGTGCTTGTCTCTAGATTTTGTGTTATTGATGCATGTCTATGTGTATTGATGCTATAGATTTAGAGATTATCAAAATATAGTGCTTAAAGGAATGCTTTTGTGATTCTCTTGATGGTTCATACTTATCTCTTGATGGATTATGCCTCTTCCCTAGTTTATTTTCATGCTAATAGTGTAGATGTAGTGTAATTGTAGTGTAGTGTTAAATGGGAGGACAATCTATGCTTGTTGTTTGATGATCCAAGCTTTTGAATGCAAGTAGTATATGTCTCTAACCTTGTGTTGTATTTGGATTGTGAGCTTAATGAAAGGATTAATGACTTATTTTGATCTATTGTGCCTTTCACATGATATTTAGACAATATATGTTTAACTAATCATCCTTGCTTGTTGAATCAACCAAACACACACACACCAATATTGCAACACACCATTTGCCCTTATTAATCACTTGTCAATGATATAGAAATGCATTGCTTGGTGGTGATCTCTAAACCCCAAGATCTCTCTCTCTTACTTACTCTTAATTGCATTCTTTTGCTATCACTTAGTTTAATTTAGTTGCTCTCTAGTTTAATTAACCAACCAACCAACCAACCAATTGTTTGATCACTCGACCTACTAGCCCTAATAACGATTCCACGACATTGCTCGATCCTCATAATCCCTTGAGACAATCCCTACTCGCCCTAGCTATATTTATAGTGAAAGGAAGCAGTGGCTTCTATAAATGAAAAACTCTTGGCCCTAGCCTTAAAATTCACACTCTTAAGATCTTGGTGCGGTGGCACACCACCCGCCACGGCTAATTTTTGGCGCCGTTGCCGGAGATTGATTGATTTGATTTGGCAACGTCGGATTTGTGGAATTGATTAGGATTAGTACTTTTTTGATCGTGTCTTTACTTTACTTCTATTTTTCTTTTTGGTTACTTATTGTGTTGTTCTTATTTAACAAGGTGCATTATTGGAGAGGAAGCAAGCAAATGAGCCATCGAGCATTCAATTCAAGCAAGCAAAGAAAGTAAAAAGCTTAAAATTCTAAAAAAATTGCTAAGTTAAGCTTTAAATTTGGAGTTGAAGTGCTAAAGGACCTTTGTGAGACTTACTTTACTCAATCCCCACTACAAGAAAAGAGGGCTTTTACGACATAGTATTTATGGGGCTTCTTTATTTTGCTTCGTGATTACCACTATTTACGGAGTTTTTAAAAGAATCCTCGTAATTGTTACGTTATAGGACATGCTTTCATGAGGATTTTATAGAATCGTCGTAGAAAAATATTTTTACGGCGTATTAAAAAGCCCATGAATATTTAGATATATTTACGACATATTTGTACACCTTTAACGGGATAAATGTTCCTCGTGGATAAATTTCACATCTAAGGCGTCTTTTTTGCCCTGTGGATAAATTTCATATCTACGGCGCCTTTTTTGCCCCGTAAATAAGCAATACAATAAGTTCTTTTAAGGCGCCTTTTTTGTCCCGTGGATAAATTTCACATCTAAGGCGCCTTTTTTGCCCCATGGATAAATTTCACATCTGCGGTGCCTTTTTTGCCTCGTAAATAAGCAATACAATAAGTTCTTTTAAGGTGCCTTTTTTGTCTCGTGGATAAATTTCTCATCTAAGGCGTCTTTTTTGCCCTATGGATAAATTTCACATCTAAGGCGCCTTTTTTGCCCCGTAGATAAATTTTACATCTACGACGCCTTTTTTGCCCCGTAAATAAGCAATACAATAAGTTCTTTTAAGGCGCCTTTTTTGTCCCGTGGATAAATTTCACATCTAAAGTGCCTTTTTTGCCCTGTAGATAAATTTCACATCTAAGGCGCCTTTTTTGCCCCGTAAATAAGCCCCACTGCATTTTTTTTGGCACAGTACGCCCCCACCACATCCCTAATACCTAAAAAAATGGACAGCGGAAAAATTTTGCGCCTAAAAATTTTTTGCCCATGATTATTTTATTTTGCAAAAACTATAAAGTGGTATTAAACTACATCATTTTATGTAAAAAAACTAATAAACCTAACATTGTAAATCATTCTCTTCATCAATTGATCTAAAAAAATAAAGTGGTATTATTTTTTTGTTCTTTTTCTATATCTTTTTTTAATGGGGTTTTGGGGAGATGTATTTAATTTCTTGAATATGAGTTGGTCAAAAGAAACTTGACTAGCCTTGTAGGACTTTTCATGCTTTGAAATTTATGACACTAGTAGTTGCAGAACTACCTTATTTATTGATGTTGTTGTGTTTTTATGCATCTAAGAATAAAAATGACAACAAACTGAGGTTATGATAAATTTCGTTAAATTAGTAAATTTATGACACTAGTAGTTGTAGAACCGCCTTATTTATTGATGTTGTTGTGTTTCATTCCTTTTCCCTTCTACTTGTTCCCTGGCCATTTAGAATGCGTCTTACAAATTTGTTCAATTTGTTCAAATGATTCACTCATAATTAATAGGAGAACTTCTGTTCAAATTTGCTCATTCCTTTGCTCCAGCCATTTAGTTATGATGATATTAAAAGAATAAATCCTAGTAGAAAGAAGCAAAAGTCTGGTAAGAGTAATCTATTCACATAATAAAAGTTAATTTGTGGTAAAATTTTAGAAAAATTATTTTATTTTATATATCAGTTAATAAATATTTTTTATTATACGAGTATTATTAATATAAAAAAATATTTATTAATTGATATAAAAAATAAATTTTAAAAAAATTTCTATAAAACTTTTACACAATTTACCTATTTGTCTATTTATTATAAGTTTTTTTAATAAAAGTAAATTTAATTAGACAAGTATTATTAATATAAAAAATATTTATTAATTGATTTAAAAAGAGTTTCTATATAAAATTTTAACACAAATTATCTATTTATTTATTTATTATGAGTTTTTAATTAAGAAATCTAATTAGACAAGAATTATTAATATAAAAATAATTTATTAATTAATATAAAAAATGAAATAATTTTTTTAAAACTGAACCACAAACTATCTTTTATTTTGAGTTTTTTTTAACAAAAGGTAATCTAATTAGACAAAAATTATTAATATAAAAAAATATTTATTCAGTATAAGAAAAATAGTTTTTTACCACGTATTTTTTTGCCACGGTTTTAAAATAATCATAATAAAAAATATACTATTATTTTAAACTGTGATAGAAAAGTTTTTTTACCACTATTAATAAAAAATGTAACTGAAATCATGGTAAAAAGTGAAATATTTTCACTTATCATTTGGCGGGCCGTGAAATTTTCACTTATCATTTGGCGGGTCTTATTCCCACTGGTGCAATAAAGTCACTTCTCTTTCTGAAAAAACCCTAGCCTTTCTTTCTATCTCTATCTCTATCTCTCTATGTCTCACGCCGAGGCACCACCACCATCAACCCACATCCTCACACCATCACCAAGCCCTCGCTCTCTGTTCGAACCCCACTGCCGCAAGCTTCTCCAGCCGAACCTCTTGGCCGCCGCTGCTGCTCTCTCCTCTCTTCTCGGTCTCGCTTTCTCTGGCCGATTCTCGGTCAAGGAGAAACCACATCTCGCCACCGGCCACCACATTTCCAGTTCCGGTCGTCTTCTCCAGCCAAAAATTTCAAGCCGAGTCTCTCTCTCTCGTTTTTCTCATTTTTCTCTCGGGTAAGCTCTCTTTAACCTGAAATTTGACTTTTGGACTTTGATTTTGGAATAGGAATTTAGAATTTCCTACATATATCTGTGGTTGTGTTTATTAGGGTTGTGAATGTATAAGTCTGTGATGTGAAAAAGGAGGAAGGGCTATGGTAATGGAGAATGGACTAAAAAAAAAATTCTGTGAAGGGCTTGTCCCTGATTGTTGAAATTAAGGTTGACGATGAATTGAATTGAAAATTCTAAATTGAATTGAATTGAATTGCAACTTCTTGGGCCTTTAAATTTCAGATTATATATATATGGCCTTGTGTTGTATCAAAAATTCTGGACTGTACTTGAATTCATAAAAACTGTGAGATGATTTTGATATAAATTCATCTCTGTGACTATGCTTTTGAACTGAAATGGGGCTGTGAAATTTAAACTGAAATGATGTATATATCTTGTTGCCATGTTGAAAATTCTATGAAGCTTGAGACTATGTTTCGATATATACCCATACATTGTTTTCTTTTGTTTGAACTTAAAAATATTTATAGCTATCTTTCTCAATGGAACTTTTATTAATTTATTTGTATTGTTGAATCTCAGCCCTCCTGACATCACTTTGTGAAAAACTAGAATGGTGCACCAATTAGAATTGGCGGCATTTCTTGAAAACAAAAAAAGCTATGCCATCACCATTTATATCCCCATGTTTGTGTAGATTTTTCTAGTTATTTTTTTTTTAATCCTTTAGGCCCTTGAACATAACACAGATTCTCCATTTTCAGAACTAATGATCAGTAGGTTCCTTTTTCTCTTGATACTTCACATAATGGGATTTCACTGGCCTGAGATAGGTTTTGTTGTACAAGTCCAATGGGGCATTTTTTTAAGGCGTGACTGGGTTTGTTGGATCCAAAGAAGCCCGATGGTAGTCAAGGCTCTGCTACAGTATCTTATTCCATGATAGGTGAAGCCCTATAATAGGCACTCACAAAGGCATTAGGTCTTCTGTAGTAGGCTTCAAGATTAAGAAAGCTCGAATTAATTTTTTTAGTCACTTATTCATATATCTTCTTTATTTTCAAATGCCCATTTATTAATATGATATTCAGCTTGGAATTCTTGGGCTTATGTTTGACTACTTGAATTACATTTGTTTAGGCTTGATTCTATTATTTTTTATAATTTAATACATGTTTGCACTTTGCAGCCTTCTGTTACTGTACATTTCCATTTTTTATTTAGTTGAGTGCACTTGCAAATTTTATTTATGCCAAATTGCATCTTTGTCAAAAGCTTTTTTCTACTTGCTTTTAATTCTTCTTTTTCATCTGTTCCCCTTCCCTCTTGATCCTAAAAGTTGATGGAAAGTTTTTAATTTGCATAGCATTTTTTATGGTCGTTTATTCGATTTTTATATGGAATTTTAGGAAATTTTTATTTTTAAGCCAGTAGCTGGTGCACCACCAACTGCCACCTAGGAAGCACCTATACTTCTACAAGAGTGACGTACCCATGTTGTGTCGGACACCAATATTTCTCAGATACTCATGGATGAGTGTTCGATTCCTATACGTATTATAATTTTGAAATATATTTTAAAATTTCAACCACGTACCGATACTTCTCAGATACATATTTAGCAAGTTTTGAGAATTAGAATGTAACTTTTCAAAGAATAATATCATAGTATAATTGTTAAGAAAAGTTTAACATTTATTCGAAAATAGAACTTAATTTATCCATACAATATAACTCTCAACTCTTGTTTTGTTTGTTAATCATAATATTTTATAAATAAATGTTAACAACAATACTTGTGAAAAAAAAAAGAAAAGATATGCTAATAACAATACATATAACATAAACAAGTATTATTTAAAAATTTTCATAGATGCATATATATTGATTTTTATACATATCTACGTTTATATATATATATATATATATATATATATATATTGTCCTGTCCTTGCATATCTGTATCTATAATTTAAGAATTTGTTGTATCTGTATCCATATTTCATAGATTGTCACCATCACAATTCATAACACCACAGCTTCTTAAAAAATCAACACCACGATGTAGTATTGCATTGCATGTGGCTTATTTTGGTTCATTGCAAGGTGAAAAAGGATATGCTACCAGCTTAGGCATCATTTAGTTGAAGTTTTCTACTCCATGCACATATTGGAACTTTTGTATTCATTCTGATTCAGCTATTATTATTTAAATATTGCACATGATCTTTCTTAACTACTGTTCTGTGCTGTCATTGAATTCTTTTGTGTAAGCATGAGTGGACTATTAATAATTGTGCTGCTCTTGATGAACACAAGATTGTGCTCTTTTCTTTATTGAGTTGTCGTCGTTTCAGGAATTAACAGATGATGTGAACAATGAAGCATCATTTCATGATGACAAATTCCTTTCAAAGAATGGGTAACCCAGAGAATTCTTCTTATCCAGCAATGCTAATGCTGTAGTTGAACACACAAAAAAGGTTTTGGTAATTTAGGATGGTGAAGTTGTTCATCTTAAGGTATTTATGTTTGTTTCCCTTTTCTTTTTTCTTTATTCTTCGCCTCCTTCTCTCTCTCTCGCTTTGCAATCCACCTTCAAGTTACAAATCCTTCGTCTTGCTGTGTGCCTATGAATAATAGATTTGATATCTTTCATGTTATCTTCTGAGATTGCTGACAGCCACAAGTATTCTTTTACAGCAACTATGAATGATAACTTGGTTGTTTTTTGTGGCTTTTGGTTGTTTAGGTGAAGTCTTGATGAAAGGAAGGACTGGCCTACCAAAGTAGCTTTCCTATAACTTTAAAAAACATAACAAATAAACTAAAATAAGAAGACAACAAAGAATAATTTCAGGAATTTCACCTTAGATTTCTCAGGGCTCATTCCCTAAGGCTGTGTTGCATCCCAAATTACCTAATCTTGGATTTTCTGAAAATTCAGTCCATTGCATAGAAATGTGATACTACATTACTTGCATCATGGACTTCTTCATTGTTTATATATTTTTTAATTATTTTGCATAAATGGAGGTCGGGAAATTGTTGTGGATGGAGTATGGTTTTCATTGATCGCATTTTAATTTGTTGAATCATCAAATAAAACAGCATATAGACTGAGATAAAATTCAATTTAATCATGCTATAAAGCCAAAATCTCTCTATATATTCACAACCACCACCACCACCACCACCACCTTTGCTTGTCACTTATGCTAAAGAAATGCAGTTTGGCTTTCTTATATGAAGTTAGTAAACCAAAATATCATATTTATCACTTTTGGAAAAGGAAAACTTGTAATTGAATAAGGCATTAAACAACTTTAAATATGGCTAGGTTTGGTAAGATGAATAACACATTTTCTTGCAACATAAAAATATATATCAAGATTTTTTAAGAAGATAAACATCTTTATCCATTGACTCTTTCCTAATTGGATACTTTGCATAGGTTCATGTGATAAAACCACATAAGATACAAGGAATTTATGCTAGCATCATCCTAGCTATTCATTAAAAGGAAAAAAGAGATTCCAAAATACTTTTGTCATGTAGAGAGCCATAGCAACGAATAATGATATTAATTTCAAAGAAAGAAAGGGAATTCTCAAAGACCTACTAGTTCATTATTCTTACTCAGACCTATAAAGAGACTACAGAGAAGGGGGTCCCTTTAAGGGAATTCTCAAAGACCTACTCGTTCATTATTTAGTGTGTCCAGTTCTCTTTGTGACCCCAAAAAGGTTTATGACTTCGTCTTGGAACTAAAAAAGAGGTTTGCGGTGAATTAGGAGGATTGCTTCACCTCAAGATGCAAATTAGATACTGCTGTATGTGTTCTTGTTTATGTAGTCTTTTGTATTCTTAGGATGGTGCACTATTTGGTTAAAATAAAGGGTATACTTAAGTTGTGTCCTTGGGATAATTCCTGTTAAAGAATTTGGAAAAGTCACAGATCTTTATGCAGCTCTTGTAATTTTCATTTTTATTCAGAAAAAAGTGCTAGCTGTTGTAGAAAAAAGGGAAATAAATAAACTTTAGCGTGCTTGCTTGGTTTCAGATGAAGTTTACATTATAACGAGTTAAAAAATTGTCTAATAACTACAATGATTCCTCTTAATAAAAATCAGTTTTAAAAGACAGATTAGGGAAGTGAGATATATATATAACAAAATAAAAAGAGGGCTATAAATTCATTTTATTAAGAGGCGAGTACCCTATTGGATAAATAAAAATGATTTTGAAGTGAGAGCGTGTGCATATATCAACGTATATATATGTACACACACAATATATAGTAATAAGTTTTGGGTTTGATATGATTAATTAAAATGGTTAATTGGCAGGGGAAGGAGGCACTGGTGGATCACTTTGAGAAGTCAACGTTTCGGTGTGATACGAATGAGTTCCTGCTTGTGTGTTTCAGCCCAGCAAGAGATGGTTCTGGTAAGTGGGTGAAACAAAATTTGGTTGGGAAGTATATATATATATATATATAGTAGTATATATATATATATATTAATTAATTAAGGGTTTAGTTTAGGGTACCATATCATTGGAGTATTTGGAGCAAGCGCCGCAAATAAACACTATAATAGTTCCTATGTGGTTTGTTTAATGACTTCTAAGTATTAATTCATCTTTTCTATTCCTACATCATCTTTATTACTAATTTGATGAGCTTTTCATTTTTTTTTGGTAAAAAAAATTTAGGTGGAGGTTTGATATCTGGGGTTACATTGGCTGCCAAGTTTATCAACCCTGCTATTCGAGTTTTGGCTGCTGAATCAATGGGAGCACCTACTTGCTTGGATTTTGTACTGTGGAAAATGAGGTGGTGTTTTTGAAAAGTGTAGATTGAAACTTAATTGTTAGGAAATTGATTATTTATTTATTTTTTTTTTGCAGATGAATTTACTTCCTATTTTGGCACATTGATCAATCATGAATTCTTGAATTGTAAAAATATTTTAAGTCTTTTGATATGTTTAATGTGGAATTTCAAGATATTTTTTTGGTTATGGTTATTGACATTAACATATAGAATTGAAACTATGAATGTGTTGATATATTTTTGAATTAAATGATAGTTGAAAATTGATGCCAATTGCAGGTTGTGTGAATGATTAGGTAGCATTTAAGGGTAATGCTATATATATATATATATATATATATATATATATATATATATATGTAATTGATACCCATTGCAGGTTGTGTGAATGATTAGGTAGCATTTAAGGGTAATATTTTATAATTTTTTTTTTAAAAAAAATTATGTTATCTACGGGGAGCTTGAAACCCCCGTAAATATTATTTACGGTTACTTACAATTCGCCGTAGAAAACAATTCTACGGTAGTTATATTTTGCCGTGGAAAAGTTTTCTACGGCAGTTACAATTCGTAGTGGAAAACGTTTCTACGGCAGTTACAATTCGCCGTAGAAAACGTTTCTACGACAGCTATATTTCCCCATAGAAAAGTTTTCTACGGCAGTTATATTTTGCCATAAAAAAGTTTTCTACGGTAGTTACAATTCGCCGTAGAAAACGTTTCTACGGCAGTTATATTTCATCGTAGAAAAAATTGAGTTTCTACGGCAGTTATATTTCGCCGTAGAAAAAATTGAGTATTTATGGAACCCTCATACACGAGGGCCTAGAATGCGCCGTGAATACGTTTCTACGGCATTTTTGGCCCCTCGTAGAAGCCCTTTTTTCTTGTAGTGGCCTTAGTCAAATCGTCGGCCCGCGTGGAGGCTTATTTTTAATTATCTTGCATCATTGTTGTAAAGCATGGGAGTATGAATTATGTGTTTATGGAAGAAGTCTAATTGCATTGTTGTGAAGGCATAATGTTTGTTATTCTTTATGTTTGTTGTGTTTTGCATTATGCATGCATGGACGTCGTTCATTGAGACCAACTCTTGTCCCTCTTGATTTACATCTTGAATCTATCGTTAGAAATCCTAGGGGAAGAGGAAGTTCAAATAAAGCCAATCTTTCAATGGATGACCATAATGATAATCATGTTAAGGACCTTGGTCACATAGACCAACAAGGTATCCTTCATCCCAATGTGCACAATGAGAACATACAAGTACCATTAGGCATGCCTAGGCCAGTCATTCATCAACCACCACAACAACAAGGCCAAGTTCCATATGGAATGCCAAGGCCAATGCCTGCTCCACAACCTCCCATCAACAATCAAGGAATTCAAAACCAAGGTGTTCATGTTGCACCTCAAGTAGCTAATCCACCTCTTGCTTTAAGAGACCATTATGTGCCTAATGAGTATAATGAACCTACATGTATCCAATTGCCTCCATTTAAAGCACATCATTATGAAATTAAGCTACAAACCATTCAAATGCTTCCTAACTATCATGAACTTCCAAGTGAAGAACCTTACAAGCATTTGGATGAGTTTTTTGAAGTATGTTCCACCGTAAAATATACGGACATGTCGGAAGAGGTTTTAAGACTCAAACTTTTTCCATTCACCTTAAAAGACAAGGCAAAGTATTGGTTTAACAATCTTAGGCCTTTTTCAATCACCTCTTAGGCAGAAATGCAACAAGAGTTCTTGAAGAAGTACTATCCTGTTTCAAAGACCAATACCATGAGAACCTCAATACGAGAATTTTCAAATGGGGATGGAGAAACGTTTCATGAGGCATGGGAACGCTTCAATGAATTGCTTAGGAAGTGCCCACATCATGACATGCCCAAATGGCAATTAGTTCAATATTTCTTTGAGAGCTTATCGGACAACTATAAGGGTATGGTTGATGCTTCCATGGGTGGCTCATACATTGATAGGCATGAGGATGACGTGTGGCATCTCTATGAGAGCATGAGTGAAAATTCTTTGCATAGAACACTATCATCCAAGAATGGTAAAAATTCACAAGGTAGGAAGAGTGTTGGCTTACATCAAGTCGACCATTCAAATGAAATAGCCGCTAAAATGAAGTCTTTATCTCAAAGGTTTGATCAATTTTTGATTAACCAAAACTCGGTGAACTAAGTATCTTCCTTCCCTAACCATTCTCATCGTGCATCAAATGAAACATGTATGACTTGTTCTAGTGTTATTCATTCTACTTCTCATTGTCCTCACGGACAAGTGCAAAATGAACCTAATGAACAAGTCAATGCAGCTTTTGTGAAGCAAGGGAACAATCCTTTTGGTACTCACTATAATCCAAGTTGGAGGAATCATCCGAATTTCTCTTGGAAAAACCAAGGAGAGGGCTCAAACCCTTCCCAAGGCGGTTTTCAAGGGAAGTACATTCCACCTCCACTTTAAAACCAAGGATCCCAAGGTTATAGACCTTATCAATCACAAGGGAATCAATTTGCTAATTCTCATTTTCCTAACCAATCTTATTCCCAAGGTAATATTAGAAGTCTCGTCTTTGAAGAAAAAGTTTTGAATGCTTTGGACACTTTAGAGGCTAACACTCAATTGTTTTATTCTCACTCTCAATCTATTGCGAAACTAGAAACCCAAGTAGGGCAAATAGCAAACACTCTCAATGCAAGAGAGAAGGGAAAGATGCCTATAAATGCCCCACCTAAGCAACAATGTGTTGTGGAAACCCATTCCTCATCGGAAGGCCACACCATCGAACATGTTAATGCGGTGACTAACTTGCGGAGTGGTAGGATTGTGGACAATCAAGTTGGAATGTCCAATGAAGAGAGTGAACCGGTGCAACCTCAAGTTGTCACCCGTCCCGTTTCACATCCCATTCCTCTTTCATTGCATATACATGATCTTGTAAATGAGAAAGTTTTGAAAGATGTGTTTGAAAAAGAAATTTTGAAAAATGATGTTGAAAAGGTTTTGTTGAAAAATGATTTGAAAACTTCTTGTGTTGAAGAGAGTTCAAAAGAAAATTTTGAAAAAGTGTTTGAACCAAAAGTTTCATTTCTAGATGCCTTAAAATGATCCATTTCAAAAGACAAGCAAAAGGCAAAAACCAATGAAATCATGGAAATGTTTAGGCAAGTGAAAGTTAATCTTCCACTACTGGATGCAATCAAGCAAATTCCGGCTTATGCCAAATTCTTGAAGGACTTGTGCACCCAAAAGCGGAAGAACAAGAGCCAAGCACCAAGAAAAGTGGTTTTGACCGAGCAAGTAAGCTCAATTTTGCAACATAACACTCTTCCAAAGTTTAAGGACCCCGGTTCACCCACTACATCATGCATTATTGGTGATCATATCATTAATCGGGCGCTTCTTGACTTAAGAGCAAGTGTTAACCTTCTTCTATACTCGATTTATGTCAAATTGGGCCTAGGTGAATTGAAACCGACGTCGTAGTTTTACAACTTGCCGACCGATCCATTAAAAAGCCTAGGGGTATAATTGAGGATGTTTTGATAAAGATTGATAAATTCTTCTTCCTGGTTGATTTCGTTGTCATAGACACGGAACTGGTTCCCAATCCTAAAAGCCAAATTCCAGTTATCCTTGGCCGTCCTTTCTTGGCAACCGCTAATGCCAACATCAATTGTAGGACGGGGATAATGAAGATCTCATTTGGCCACATAAAGGTGAAGTTGAATATTTTTAATCCTACGCCCAATTCATTTGACAAATATGAAGAAGAGGTTAATGTTGTAGATAAATGTCATAATCTTCAATGTCAAGGAAATGAGCTTTTGTGTAAGACCAAAACTTCCAAAGGATCATCTTCAACCTTGCATTCTAAAAGTCTTGTTTCAAATTCTTACTTTGAAAGGGCGTGGAAGCCTAAAGGTTGTGATTACATAGACAAGGAACCAAGGGTTTTTTTTTAGCTTAATCTAACAAGTTCTTCAAAGAACCATTTGTTGGGTGGAGTTCAAAGCATCTATCACCCCAACAAGGAGGGGATGCATTATAAGATCTTTGATCTGCGTTAAAAGAGCCCAATGTCTTGCTCGAGACGTTAAAGACTAGCAAAGGTATTCGTAGGGTGTCAAAACCCTATTCCTCCCCCATTTATATCTTTCATTTCATTTCTTGCGAAGTTTAGATACTTGTTTTTGGTTCATATGCATTTCAAGGAACTTTGGTGAAGATTGCATAAGCTTTCATAACATTGTTGAGCATTCTGCATAGTTCGATTGATCTCAAACTTGAGTTCGATCGATCGAACTCTATTCTGTATCCAACACTTAGAAAATTTTTCGACCTGCAGAAAGTTGCATCCAAATCACCTCTCTGTCCCATCGTTCGAACTAACTCTTAGATCGATCAAGAGACCTTCGATTGATCCAACTTCAAAGTTCGATCGATCTCATGATTCAACACTTAGAAAAATTTTGAGCCTACATCAACCTGCATATTTCAGCTCTCTGTCCCATCGTTCGAACTAACTCTTAGATCGATCAAGAGACCTTCGATCGATCCAACTTCAAAGTTCGATCGATCTCATGTTCCAACACTTAGCCAATTTTCTGAGCCAAAAACCTGCATATTTTTGCTCTCTGTCTGATCGATCGAACTTTTGTTTCGATCGATCTCAGTCTTCATTTCATTATTTTGACTTTATTTTGACTTTTCAAATTTTCAAAAATCCAAAAATATTTTCACTTTTATTTTATTTTCTTTTTATTTTATTTTCTTTTTATTTTTATTTTATTTTATTTTATTTTTCAAAAAGTTTCAAAAATTCAAAAATATTTTAATTAATTTTTAATTATTAGTGTTTATTCAATTAAATTTAATTTTTTTAAAAAAAAAAACCAAAAAAAAAACCAAAAATATTTTATTTTATTTTCCAATTTTTAATTTTAATTCCAATTTTTAATTTTCAGTTTGCAATTTTCAAAAATTTCAAAAATCCTAAATACCTTGAAGAGAGTTCATCAAAGTTCGATCGATCACAGTTGAGTTCGACCGATCGAACCCTGTTGAGAATGTTTTTTAAAAATAGAAGCGATGGTTTTCACGATCGATCATTTAGATCAATCTCACCCTCTCTCAAACCCTAGCCCCTCTCGTCGCCGTCATTGTACCCTATCATCTTCCCCTTCTCTGGCAAGCCCTCTGGTGTCATCAAGCTTCCCGAATCTCTCTCTCTCATCTCAGTTTC